TGACTGCCATTTCCTCACTGTTAATCCTGAAATTCTAATGAGGTTAGTAGGGAAGAGGTGATGACAATAAAGACAGGAAGTGAGAGAGATTAACTGTGTCAAACACTTACTCCATCTTGCCCGTGTAGGGATAGCAAACCCTTGCAACTAAGGGCATATCTGGATGACCAATGTGAACGTGTCTCTTGAGGGGGCAGAGAGTGATAGCCCAGTAATTAAGAGCAATTACCCTGAAAATCGGTTTGCTTTCTGTTACTCAGATAAGCATTATGATCAAAAACAACCTGCAGAGAGAAGAGTTTACTTCATTTACACTTCTGTATCACGGTCTATCTCTGAGAAAAATCAAGGCAGGAACCTGGAGTCAGGAACTAAGGCGGAGACCATGGAGCATGGAGGAATGTTGCTTATTGGCTTGCTCAGCTTCCTTTCTTATGCAATCCAGGACCACCTTCTCAGGGTGGCTCTCTCCGCAGCGGGCTGAGTCCTCCCACATGAATTAACAATCATGAAAATGCCCAGAGACCAGTCTGAGGGATGCAGCTCCTCACCTGAGGCTTCCTCTTCCCACAGGACTAGGCAAGATGACATTAAAACCAACTACCACACCGGGAAATCACGAGGACTGGAGTTCAGATCCCAGCACCCATGTGACAACAGACACAAAGAACACTCCCATCACCCAGGCTCTGAAGAAGTCTGGAGACAGGAGTGTTGCTGGGCCTTGCTGGCTTCCAGCCTAGCTCAAACCGTAAAAGATCCAGGTTCAGGGAAAGACTCTGCCTCGATGAAATTGGGGGGAGTGCCAGAAGGGAACACCTGATGCCTTCTTCTGGCCTCTGTGCATAAACACAGGCAAGCAAGTACACCTGCACACACACACACACACATGTATAAGCTCATACATAGACATACATGTGCATAAATATCTCTGAATTTTGGAAACTTTTAACTTAATAGATCATCTGCAGTGATCTTACGGAAAAAAAAACCCAAAGAACAACAACAACAACAAAAACAAACAAAAAGCCAAAAAAGCCAACCTCCCACACTCTCCCCCCCTAAACAACAACAAAATGTGCCAGCTTTGATCATGCTCTAAGGGTCAACTGCCTCCATCCCATCCCATAAGCTATGGCAAAACTAGAAGTCTGCAGAGCCCTGTGTGAGCACCTTGGCTTGGGCATGATGATAAACTTCTGGGCAGCCTCTATCCCTATTTTTTCCCTGTAGGTTGCTGGGACACCTATTTGTAATCAAAGCCACTTTCAGAAGGAATTGCTCGGTTCTGTGTAAACTCATGTAGACCTGGGAGAAAAAAAGATCAGCATAGGGTAAACCTTGCTCATAGCCACCTCGGTTGCTCTCAATTGTAGAAAATTTGGATATTCCTCTCTAACATTTTTGAGTGGCGCTCACAGGTTAAATACATTCACACAGCCTTGTCGCTACCCACCTCCAGGACATTCCTTTTGCGAAACTGAAATTGTGCTCTCTAACTCCACGTTCCCTGTTGCTCCAACTTCCACAGCCACCATTCCACTTTCTGTCTCCCTGCCAAGACTATGTGCCTCGTGCAAGTGGAATTTTCTGTCTCTGTCATTGCCTCTACCTCCCCCAGCTCATGCTCACAGACTTCAAACATGAATTCTCCCTTGGAGAGGTCATCCTTTGACCTTCTTCCTTCCCTTTTCTCTCTGGGGAAAAGGTCTGTGCTTTTCCATCTCTCCCACTTTGTTCCACTTTTTTTTTTTGTAAATTTTTTTTTTTGTAACTGGGGTAATTTTTTGGTTCCTCTATCCAGGTATGAACATTGGAGTACAATCAACCATAATCAAGAAAGAGCTGACACCAACTTACATCTCAGGACTGACTGAAAGTTCTTCACTAAGCCCAGTAAAAGTCTTAACTTTTTAACTCATCTCCCAGGAAAATAATTTCTTCTTGACAGGAAATGCCATTTAACCCACTCCGAATATTTCCCACCCCACACCCTGTTGAAGATCAACTCTCAGCATCCCACAGAAGAGAGAGTACATTTCTATTGGGTACAGGTTGAAGGGATTTTGAGAACCAAGTCTAGAAATCAAATCACATGCGGCTTCTCTCAGAAAGAGTCGGAAGGTCCACAGAGCTCCTGAGAAGTAAACTGCTAGAAACTGGAGACAGAATATGTGTTACACATTCTTTATAACTTCTTTCTGCTTTCTTGGTTTTGTTTTAGGCAGGATCTTGTATTGAGCTGAGGTTGGTCTCAAACTAAGTATCCTTCTGCCTCAGCCTCCTACACTCCTACACTCCATCATGCCTGGGATCTTATGAGCAACTTTTCATTAGCAATTCTGAGCTGAAAGCTACTGACCAAATGTCTGCCACAGAACACACCCCGAACAACAAAAGAAGTGGCCAACTGAAGCATAGCACCCAGTCCCTTCCTCCAGATCCCCTAGTGGTTCAAGACCTACTTTTCTCATGAGGACCCTACAGATCCTGACGATACCCTGTGCCTTTGAAGTCTCACGTGTTTGGGCTTTAGTCTTTAAATATTAATTTTTAAATTAAACTAAATATAATTTTTAAGATAGGGTCTCACTATGTAGCCATGACTGGCCTGGAACTCATTATGTAGACCAAGTTGGCTTTACTTTGGAAATTATAATTGACAAAAATTGCATGCATGGGCTGTTTACAATATAATGTTTTGAAATATACACTCACTGTTTGAGTTAGTTAACCTGACATTGTGTGTGTGTGTGTATGTGTGTGTATGTGTCTGTGTGTGTGCGTGTGATGATAAACCCCCTTTTTGATGCATTATTTTCCCACTGCTTGTTGAAGAAACATATTTAACCAAGGCACTTTGAAACTTTACACATCCCACGGAAGAGAGCACCACAGTCGAAATCCGCCTCCAAGGCTGCAAACTAGAAATGACAGAAATAAGCATAGAGCCAAACTCAACCCGCTAATGTTATTATTTAGCAGACACTAATTTGACAGGTATTAGACACCACGAAAGGCTGCAAAACCGAAAATTAAACTCCAGCTCTTCCTTACGACACCAACTGAAAGCGTTCACGTCCCCTGAGAGCGTTCACACCAGCTGAAAGTGTTCACACCAGCTAATGGTCTAGTGCAGCTCCAGGGGGAAGCCATGCATGAGATGCTGTTCTGAACAAGGAAGTACAACAGCAATCAAAGCAAGTTGCTAACAGGGCAACAGGTTCGCTGGCCAGTGCTTTCACTCTCAAGGTCTTTGGAACACTGTTAGTACCCCTGCCGTAGTTGGGACGCTAGATATTCCGGAAGAGGAAATAAGGTAGCTTGTATTGACTTTGATTTTGTTTCAGGTCAAGTCATTTGTCAGATTAACTTCTCCACCCTGTGAACACGTGGTGTCTTTTACATTCCTTCCATGATACTTAACTTGACATAATATTATTCTTTTACATATTATTACATAGTCTTTAATTACTTCATGCATGCAGATCTTGCCTCCTTGTAAGTATACGGCCAGCAAGCTGACTGGTGACACTTCAGTGGGGTCTCCTGCAACACCTCCACTCTGTGGGGTACAGCATGGGTATGTGGTGAGTGTGGGTTGGTGAACTTTCATGAGGCCCTGCCATGCTTGGAGCACAAGGAAAATGTCCTGCTAGTGTCTGGGGGCCACAGCAGAGCCAAGAAACCTTCAGTCCTGTGGCAGTGGAGGATTCCTGAGCAGACAGTGTAAGTTCCATGAGGGTGAGGGTGTGGCTTTACTCCCTTGCCAGCAGGTATACCTGGCACTAACTTTCTCCATATTACTGTTTCAGATTAGTGTTCCCACACTGTGTGTTTTCCGTCTGTTACTCATTTGAAGCCGATGCCCAGAAGTTAAGGTGATAGCAGGAAACCATCCAACATGGCAGTCAATATGGCATACCAGGTAGTGGTGTTCCTCTTAGGCACGGAAAGGGTGAGCGTGAGGGTGGAAAGGAGAGGGTGAAGATCAAGGAGCAAGGTCACTGACCAACTAACCCCAGTCTGAGGGCTCACTGTGGAGGGACAAGGCCCGTGGCAGAGCAGCCGGATGTCAGTTGGGGCTCTTGGCAGCCCCCAGGCAGTGGAACACAACCTTGCATGGTCCCTGTCTGTCTGGTTGCTTCCTGCCAGGGAAGGTTGCCAACAGTTTGTGACAGCTGTGTCGTGAGCTGGTCTCTGAGGTTCTCTAGTGACTGCCACTCCTGACCCGCCTGTCTGTGTGTCATGGGAAGACACAGGGATGTTTGGATGCTCGGGACCCTATTTTCTCCTGGCTCCTATTTCTCTGCGCTATGTCTGCCTGTTTGGGCTTTTACAATGAGACACGTTGAAAAATGGTTCTTTTCTTCTCTTGTTGCCAGAAACCTACTGGTTCTATATGTGAAAATATTTACATTTCACTCTGTCATCAAGCATGGCTGTTTTTCAATGTGATCACGTGATCATATTTACTTACTAGCATCTAGTCAGAGTAGTTTGACATCTCTCAGGGATTACTACTTGGAGAAACTACCCACCTGCATTTTTTTTTAAAGATTCAAAAGCCCAGTGAGAGGCTCAGTGGTAAAGGTGCTTGCCACCAAGCCTGAAAACCTGAGTTCAGCCCCTGCAAACCACAGTGGAAGGAGAGAGCCACCATCCTACAGGTTGTCCTCTGACCTCTGGACACGGAATCGTGACACATATGCACACACCCATCCACCCTCACACTCAAAATAAATAAACAAATGCAAAAATAAAGACAGAATTCCAGCCATGTACTATTTTTGAAAAAAAAAAAGAACTTTTAAAAATTAATGCTTGCTATGTGTTGAGGGATTTAATTTTTCAGTTTACTCAAAACAGTTACTTTTGCTTTATTTTCTTAACGGTTCTGTTATGTGGACTCAATTTCCCATCAGCAGCTGTATACTGAATGGTTATCAAATTCTCCAAAGGCAAATATGAAGAGTTAAAAATAAAATTCCAGACATTACCTTTCAGCATTACTCGTCCCGTGGATCCTCCGAAGGTACTGAGAAGGCCGCTTCTTGCTCCTAAAGAGGTGGTGGCCTCCAGAAGAGAGCCAGTGATGTACTGAGCTACGGATGTCCTTTGGGGGGTGGCACGGAACTCACACTCAGTGTCTCGGACACATGGCTTTATGCATGGGCCGTCTCTAATTCTTCCCCAGGCTGTCTCGGAGGTCGGGAGCTGTCTGGAACAGTACAGGAGAGATCCAACCGTAGCTTCTGCTTCTTCTCCCCTTCTCACTGCACTGTAGAGCTGCGAATAGCACAAAGCACAGGAAGTATTAATCTAGTTTCTTAGAAAAGCAAATTAACTTGTTGACAAAATGCCAAGATGACTTATGAAGAAAGAAGGCTTGGTCGGTCTAAGCGCAAACACCTTTGAGTTCTGAACTCATGCATCAACCAGAACATTCTGCAGACACCATCTATTTGGAGAAACTTTGTGTAGTTATGAAATAGGCCATTCAAACAACTCTGCTATCAAACAGAGCACTTAAAGTTGCACCAACCAAAAATACATTCAGCTCAAATTTCTCCTCCTCCACAACGCTCTTCAGTAGAGCGACAAGGACAAACCTTTCTCTCATCCCTTTGAACTCTCCTGTATGACTGACCATGTCTGCCTGCCTCCATTTATGCTTCAATCTGACTTCCATAGGGAATTCCTGCTCCATGAACAAAAGTGAAGCAAGGATGAAAGGGTCATGGAGAAGGATTTCCCTCATGGGCACATTCTTCCCATCTATCAATAGCATCAAAATCTTTGATGTTCTTTTTCTGTTCCTCTTCCTTCGTCTCCACATTCAAAGAGTTAGTCCCTGCCCAGGGTTCCTGCTCTGTCCTTTTTTTTTTTTTTTTTTTTGAGTCCTTCTTTGAGCACTTGTGTTCACCAAGTATGATTTTATTAGAACAGGTTCTCAATCACGTCTTCTGTCCATTCTAATGTAGTCATTTCCCATGCATGGGCGTAGACCCTGCTCTGTGTGACTCGCTATGGCAGAAAACTTAGGCAAATGAAAAGGGTAAAGCATTCTGCTCGCACTACAGTATTTCCCTCATTGCTTTAAAGAGTCCCGAGTAACATACAATTCAAGAAAACTGCAGGGGGATGTTGGGTTGTGTGAAATGTTCTGGAGTCTGTTGGAGTCTTTTTGATAGTTGGTGAACAACATGGCAAAGGATATCTGTTGCCTGCTAGAGGAGGAAGGAAGCCTACTTTACAGTGAATTCATCACGACACTTGGAACAGCTTGCTTTGTTTTATTCACCATCACTGTGTCAAGACTGGGCAAATCAGTTCCTCATCATACAGAGATCACAGACCTGCAACAAGCTTGTGCTTTCATGGTACTGTATGCTCCGAATTTTACCTTAACTATGTTGTTTAAGAGATCCCTGTATTCGGTCCTTATGAAACCCTACAATAAACCCAAACCCCACAACATTCAAATGGGATAATCTAGATTTCTACTCTGCTTTTCTCTGCAGGCTGATACAACCTTGCCGACTGAAGTCAGAGTGGGAATTCTTAGCTTCATTCTCAGTCATTAAACTTCTGGAGACCAGTGTGTCCAAATGAATGGTGTGTTGTGCTTGCATCCAGACTCCAAGGTAAGGTATCGGGGGATAGATACCTGGTTCTGCCTTGCCTGGCCAGAGAACTGGTTGTGAACGTGAGTAAGTGACTTAAAAGTTTTAAAGGTTCCTTCTCTGTAAAGTGGAGTCAATAATACCCCTTCTGAAAGACACTGTGGGATTCACTAAAGAAACTCATGTAACATACCTGACTCAGTGTTAAGAAACAGCGTGCATTACTATTGGGTAACACTGTAGGAGAGAATGCACTCCTCCTCATGGAATGATGGGAGGCTGTTAACTGGAGGGCAGAGTCTATGTTATTCAGCAAGATGCAGTTATTAGTGTGCTTTGTGTGTGACTGGACAATGTTATCCTAATCCCATCTGGGCAAACACAGCTCGGGGTATGTCTTTTTCTCAATGCCTGTCTTTTCCTAGACGTTGATGTTCTTAAAGAAGGACTACGACCTCCATTGCCCTACACACCAAACCATACAGGCACTACACACCACAGTAAGTCCCAGTCAAGCTCTTCAAGAGTAAATGGTCCGGAAGTTCAAGGACAGGAATCTCTTGTGAGAACTAAGAAAGGCTCCACTAAGCAACACAGAGTTTGGTCTGAGCCTTGAAAAGTAGTTGATACTCTAACTGTAATAAGTGGGGATGGTAATTCAGGAGAGACTCCAAATAATGAGGCTAGGAAAATGCAGACTCTGTTGGGTCAACAGCAAATAGAGCAGGGTGTGCAGAGCAGAGAGTGGAGGGTGTTAACTGTGCATCGAGGTGGGCCAGACAGTCTGATAAAAGAAAGCCTGAACTGTTACGGCAAAGAGTTTTAATCCTTTAGAGGTAGCACCCCTTGACACTTGGTATTTGTTTGTTCTTAAAAGAGGAATGAGACTAAAAATGTTTTGTTTAAAAATATGAACAGACAGTACCCTGTTGCTAATATGTTGCCTACTCCCCCTTCTTGCCAAGCTGCCCTACAGGCTTACAGTGCCCAAAATCATTGCCTTATGAACTCTTCCTATTATAATGCTTTTATAGATTCCTAATGGTCCATTTAGTCCTTTCTCCGGATTTTCCAATGTGTTTTTCTCAAAACCTTAGATGGAGAAGGAATGATGTCACATACAGACTTCATGGTCACAGGCACTTGAACACAGTAAATAGTGCCTCTTCTGGAGATTTCTACTGCCCGAGAGAATATTAAAGACAACTACAGATGTTGTAAAGAAGTTTATTTCATTTTGCTTAACTGGATGTTTGAGTGTTTCTCATATTATTTGAGCAAGAAATTGTTTTCTAAGGAACACTTAGCCTACAGGTGAAGCGTAGTACAATGCAATTTGTTCGAATATAATAAGCTTTCTTATTTTAAGTTCCTTGATCTTGGTGGAATCTCTGAACTACCACCCACATCCATGACTTTCTTGATGTCCTTTCTCTCACTAGTTTACAGTTCCATCTTCACCTGTCCAACTTCTCTTTGCCATGCCTTCAGGCTAGTTACAATGCAATAGAGAAGGGCCATGAAGTACCCAAGATAGGAAGGTCACAAAGTGATGGCTACGAGCCAGATTCAGTTATCAGATTGGCTTCATCAAACACTGTTTAAAGATCAGAGAAGTTTATATATACCTGTGGTACCACAGCATTCCCTAAACACTTGGACAGCCTAGTAGCACTGAGCTTCCCACAAGGCATCATATGGGCAGAATTCCTCTACTGTCACATGGAGCACATGGACACAGGTTGGTATCAGCTCCTACCTCTCTTTAGTTATCACATCTGGCCAATATTTGGTTGTTTGTAGTGTGCAGGCTGTGGCTCTTCCCTCAGTGATTTATGGAGAGGAGTGTAGATTTGCACAATAGTTACGCATGGAGCCTCTCCAGAGGGTCCTACATGTGTTCTTCCTGTGTTGTTGCTGACTGTAGACAGAAAAAGCCAGTCTGTGATTTCAAAAGCCTTCACCCCATGCTATGCAAGCTGCCAAGGGAGGGAAACAACCAACAGTCTTCCCTTGCTGTGATGCCCATGAACTAACAATGACCAGCATGGCAAAATATCCCTAGGGGTGTGACTGTGGCATTGATATCGCAGCAGCAACCAACAGCTGTCTCATTAGACTGAAGACTTACTCAACCAGAGGGAAATCACGCCTGGTACTAGAAGCCTAGTCAACTACCTGGGGCTGGTGAGGTCATAGATCTAAGAGAAGAACCTACCATTGCCACTTTAATAAACCAGCATGGATTCTAAATATAATCCTTGTACCCACAGATAACTGTAATTCTCCTCCCTCATCAAAGAAGCTTCCTTTTTCAGCAGACAGAGACCATTATAGACACACATGACTGGTCAAAATGTAGAGAACAATTGGTCATTGATCATGGGGTGCCCAGCCCAAGTGGATACATCTACAACACAAGTGCTGTACCAAAATCTCAGGGTGCATTTTAGAAAGGGGGCTGGAAAGATTGTAGAACCCAGAGAACTGGGACTCTGTGGTTCTGTGATATTGTGTCTCCTAGAAGGGTAGGGAGGCCTCAACCTATGATATCTCAATAATATGGCTGCCTAAATAAGACCCAAACAAGGGCAACAGCAATAAACACGCTAATGTGCAAGTGGGAAACCCACAGGGTCCCACCCGAGACAAAGATCTACAGACCACTAAGCAATACTGCAAACAGGGAATTTAGTCTCCCTAAGGAGGAGCCCCTTCACTGGTTGCCCTGGGATAACCAGGTACTCAGTCTTTGGATCAAAAACATACAGGAGACACTAAATGAACTCAGTAGATTGTGTTCGTATATTTACGTTCATATGTGTATGTGTGTGTATATGCACACAGAAGGAAAAAGAGGCCAACATTTTGAGAGGGAGAAAGGAGGTACATGGAAGGGACTGAAGGGGAGAAATGATGTAATTATATTTTAATTAAAAATAGAATAGAAAGGTTACATCTCACCTTAAACTTGAACAAAGAGATAGAAGGCAAAGAGCTCTAAGAGTGACTGTCTAGCCTGCTGCTGTCTCTACCCCCAAGGCCCATTCATGAAAACGCTCTGAGTTAACAAGCCCCAGGCACCTCATCATAGCAAATTTCGAAAAATTCAAAACATTTATTAGAAAAATGCGGAGTGTGGTCAGAGTAATAGTAGATATAGTAAAAATCAGGGAACATTCCCAAACCAGGCTATTATCTCTTACCAGATGACTCCCTTATGAAAAGGAAGGCACCTCGGGCATCTGTTCCATACAGAGCAGGAAGACCAGTACTCAAGACTCACTAAGGCTCAGAGCATTGCTTTAAACCCCAGCTCCTTGCCCCACTTCCAGCAGCGTGCTCTTCCTTTGATATACCATTGCTGTGCCATGCTGAACCTCATCTGCTTTCTCTACAGGATACAGACATAGACGTATCTGCCTCATAAAGTTGAGACTAGAATTACAGTCTCTGATAAAGACAATGCATTAAAAGAGCATTTGACACCTACTAAATGCTCAACAAACACTAGGTTTAGAGCGCCGGTGATAGTGGTGACTGATGATTGTGGTAGCTATAAAATTTGCCTTTCTCTCATTACTACCTTTGGCTAGCCTTGCCATTTGCTTCCCCAGTGGGAACTTACTCAAGCACAACTTTACAAAATAAATACTTTTACAA